TTGGATAACTTATAATATTTTTTTTGAACAATTTATTATTCATCGAATCCAATTATTTTATTCTCAATATTATTAATATAAATTAAATGATATAAATCAATCACTACTATACATTTTCCAACAAAATTTAATTTTCATCCATTTACATATTTTAATGATTAATAATTAATCCAATATTTTTTAATCACATCAATTTATTTATCAATTTATCTCATCCATTTACAAACTCAAAAATATTTCCACCAATTTTTTTCCCACCCTTTTCATCACTTTTACTATTGTGTTATTTTTTTTTAATTTTTATTTCCAAATAATCTCTATCCAATCGAAAAAAAATAAAATTGTACGCGTTAGAAGACGACTCGTCAGACTTACTCTGTAAAATTTAATTCACAGTCAAATTTATTGTTATTTTTTTTTTCCTCTTTAAGAAAAGAAAACACAATCCCAGCCAAACTGCATAAGATAACAACATCAACACAGGCTTCCAAAAATCATCATTACAACTTCTGAATGTTGCAAATTTTATTAACAAATATAAATATAGTGTGCACTCAAGACTTCTGGGAAGTTGGCATAGCTAGAGAAACTCCAGAACCACTTGGCAAATCCTTCCATTGTTGAGTCACTGTCTTTATCTGTGTGTAGAACTGAACTCCGGCCTTGCCTGCAAAAAAAAAAAACGAACACAAATAGCATTTACGAATCCACAAAAACATCGTTAAACAATAACACATCTACAATAACGATAAACTTTGTTTTTCTTGCATTGAGCCTGAAAAATAGTTGTACGAGATTCTTTTTACCGTAGAAATTGAGATCCCCGGCAAAAGAAGCCTTGGAGCCAGTGAACGAGAAGAAAGGCAATGGTACTGGAATAGGGACATTAATACCAACCTGAGATAAGAAAAATCACAATCAAATTAAAAAGAAAGTAGAATATACCAGTATAAAAAAGGATAAATATACACTTGGTCGAAGAAAATATCAAAATATGCTGCTTGGTACCTGGCCTGCTTCTATTTCAGTTTGGAATTTTCGTGCAGAAATTCCTGATGACGTAAAAATAGCTGCACCATTACCATACCTGGCGAGTAGGGATAAGAATACAAATATTTCAGAATGTTACAAAATCCAAAAGCAGGAGTATTCGAGACTCAAGTGGAAGAGAAAGGTCAATTACTTGTTTCTGTTGACTATTTTTATGGCCTCATCTAAACTTTCCGCCTGAGACGTGAAAGCAAAGTATACATAACTCAGCACAAGATCCCAACACTTTTAATAGAAAGAGGGTTTGAGTAATTACTGATATACCTGCATGCAAACGAGGACAGGGCCAAATATCTCCTCCTGGTACACAAAAATAAGAAATTTCAAAATAAATCCTTGCAGAACATTTAATATAGCTTCACAAGATAGGCAGAGAAAAAAAATAACCTTATAGCATTCCATGTCATCTGTGACATCAGCTACGATGGTGGGACCCACAAAGTTGCCCTGTTCATATCCCGGAACCTGTTGTCCATGGCAAAGGTCAAACTCACTGATCAAACAAACACTGACTGGCCGCTTAAAAAGAAATCAAAAGACATCATGCATTTCCATAAATTTTTTTTTTTTTTTTTTTGGCCATTGAATGCATGTTTATTTCATCAAGCAACTTATGTCCACTTACGAGTGACGACAGTGTACTTTCACAACATAAACTGCTTGATCTAATCAAAAGCAAAAATATTATAAATTTTGAAAATATTAATAACAAAAATCGAATTCCAATTAAGAAGTGGGCAAGTTTTGAACAATAAAAATTAATAAAACAAGCACCTTAATATTTCTTCCATCGAGCAATAGCCTGGCTCCACTATCTACCCCGCTTTGGACCAATTTGCACACCCTTTCCTTTGCCTAAAATATAACGGCACATTTTTTTGGGAAAGATGTGACAGGACAAAATCCACGTGAATGAGATAAAATAAATAACATAATAAATTCTGAATATTATGAGTTGATATTAGTAGGTATAAATATGTTTCTCAAGATTAAAATCTTAAAGATTTAAACTTTTAAAGATGGCCCTGTACTGACCTGCTTACTAATGACTGGACCAAGGTCTGCCTCTGGATCTGTTCCAGCACTTACCTTTAGTGCTTTAGCGCGCTCGACTAACTTTTCTTCCCTACAAACATCAAACAGTTAAATTTCGTGGGAAACTCAACCCATAGAATTGTTTTTTTCGAAAAAAAAAGGAATGAAAAAGAAAGCAAGTTAACTAACAAACACAACCAAACTAGCAACAAAATTAAAAAGAAAAAGTATATGAATACCACAATTTTGAGTCCCCAACAAATACAACTGTGCTAAGCGCCATACACCTTTGACCAGCGGCTCCAAAACCAGCCGCAACCAAAGCATTCAAAGTCGCATCCACATTTGCATCAGGCATCACAATTCCATGGTTCTTTGCTCCCATATTGGACTGTTTAAGTTGTTCACGATTTAAGAAGTCAATATTACGTAGCATTACTTCAAAAACCATTTTATCCTAAAATATATCCAGAATGGGAAGTAGGAGACATAGTAAGTTGAGAGTGGATTAGAACCTGAACACGCTTTCCGGTGGCAGATGCCCTTGTGTAAATATGCATGCCAGCCTTAAAAATGATAAGACAAAAAACAAGCCCAAAGATTAATAACTTCTCAAATTAAAAAAATGAGCTCAGTTAGTATAAGAGGTGATATATGATTTTTTTCTGCATAATTAATCATGAAGAAAGCAAAAGCATTGATCTTTGTGCACTCGCATGATTTATTGCTGTACTATACAACACGAAAATCTGAAACGAATATAAATATGATATAATTAACAGAATCACATATGATAGGAAGCACATATACGGGAAAGATAAATATGATAGGAAGCACATATAATTAACAGAAAGATAAATATGATAGGAAGCACATATACGGGATTCGAACAGAATGATATAAAATCAACTTTGTCAGGAGAACATTTTGTACAATAAGTGCAAAACAATTTATTAAATAAAAGTTTATATATATTTCACTACTCTTTACTTTTGCTTGCAATAACAATAATGAATTTATTGTTTAGAATAAAGTTATATCATGAAATAGAAATTCAACTTAACAGCGAAGGTCTACTTAACAGCGAAGGTCTACAGGCAGTAAACTTGAAAGAAGGGAGAGAAAACTTCGAGATATTACTTACTGTATTTGAACCAACAAATGATACGGCTTTAATATCGTCATCATCACATATAGCATTAACGGTGTCCTACAAGTAAAGCGAAACAAAGATAAAACCATCAGATGCAGAGTGAAAATCGAATTTGTCTAACATTATTTCTCACTCAAATTGATTGCCAATAGTTTATCAAGAGGAAAATACTTAAAAGAGAGTTGGATAAGCCAAGACATACATTGGTACCGTGGACAATATTTAGGACTCCTTTGGGCAAACCGGCCTCCATAGCCAACTCGGCAAGAATCATTGAGGCCCCTAAAAAGAAACAGGAAGGGAAACAAGGATTTAAAAAAAAAAAAGGGTAAAATCAACCTACCACCAAATAACAAGTTTTTCGTTCAAATTCACGCATCAAACCTGGATCTTTTTCAGACGGTTTCAAAACAAATGTGTTTCCGCAAGTGACTGCAACAGGAAACATCTGCCCATATGGCATCATATAAAAAGTAACATTTTCAATCCAATATTA